TTCCCTCACCTTTTTTCGACCTGGGAATAGATTAACAGCAAGCCAATGTCAGAGCGTCACACCCTGTACCAAAGGCTTCCACCACTTGTCCTAACTCGTTCCAGCAGGGGCGTGTGACACTCTTATTCTATCACACGCAATGAAGCTGTGGATAAGAGTGGAAAGGGAAACTTGGCCGGTTTCCTGTACCTGCATGTAGCGTCCCTGGATGACTAACCCATTAAGTTGGGGTCATAGCTGGGAGCTACGGTGACTTTTCTACTCTACTGGGTGATTCTTATGTCTCGCCCGAAAACAGGAGGCAGGGTTCGTCGGCAGACTTGTCTGTCAGTTCCCTTTCATTTTATACTCTAATGGAGCGATTCGTCAGTCTCGCTCCCTAGCAAAACAGGAAGCTTCTTTTCCTTTTGAATCTACTCTAGTTACAAAAAACAGAATGATTATTTCCTTTTTACCTACTTAGAGCGATTCACCTGTCTCGCTCCCTTATGAAGCCTACCTCTCTACGCACGCCGTTAATTCAAGAGTGCTAAGTATTCAGGAACTAGTTTCCGGAATGCTTTGTTGAAACACCTACAAGTACGCTGACCTGTCACCTTTCCGTTCACCATCAACTAGCCAGTCAAGTGCCTTGCATTCGTGGATTCTCACTCGGATGAACTCTATCGAAGTGTGTGTGATGATGACGATCCTTGGAGTCCAATTTGGGGCACTTGGGTGGCCACTTTTCAGCGCTGAACTTCCAGTTGTGCGTCGCTTTCGCGCGCACCTGCAAGATAATACTGATCATCCTCCCCTCTAAGTTTCTCTACACCTCCGAAACAAACAAAAAAAGGACAGTGTCCACGCTTTGCTCCGCGCGTCGCCGCCGCCCACCCGGCCGGATGGCGTCGTTGGCGCGGTCGGTCACCGCCACCGACGGCGCGATCCTGGCGCCGCGGTCGGTGGCCGCGGTCGGGGGAGCACGCAGACGAGGAGGGTTCCGTGGAGGTTCGCGGAGGTCCGTGTTCAGAGGATCTCAAGAGATCTCAGAGTTCCTCTATGTATGGAACAGCTGGCCCAAAATCAGCATGAGTGATTTACTAGGTGATAGTCAATGACGAGGTCCGGTCTTGGGAACATTAGAGGGCCAAGTATAATAAATATTGCGTGCAAACCACCGGGAGTGCAGTATCCTTTTTGATGATCAACCAAAAGGCCGTAGGTTAGGCCATAGATGACCCGAATACCATCTGGTTCAGCCTGCCTAGTTGGTGCAGAACTGAGCTGTACTATGTTGCTGATGAGCGGCAGTATCAGGCAGTCTCAATCCACTAACCCCTCCGCCCTGCATCTTGGCATAGATTGCATGAATGCACTGCTTAAACACTACACAAAGGGTTCCTGTCTAACAAAACTTGAAGTCCAAATGACTGCAAGAAAACAGTCGTGGAGGGTCTGCGCCCCAATTCTTATCTACTCCATACTGACTTACGAAATCTTCGGATTGCTATCTGCTATCTTCGGCAAGGAACCGATCAGCCACTAAAGCTAAGGCCTTCAACCATGCTAGATCATGTTAGATCCAATCAATAACTGATGTTTAAGTATTCTGGGTATAGAGGAACTAAAACATAACTAAACTGATGTTAGATCCTAGCCTTATGCTAGGTCCTGATGTGAACTATTCCAAGGTTTGACCGCAGATTAAAACACACAGATCTAAGCTGCCCGGCAAATCCCGTGGACAGGCCCAGCGCCATTCTGAGCAGCGAAAATGGGATAGTCTCAAGAAGCTTGGGGAGCCCTGGAAGATTTGCATGCTACAGGGTACGAAGGGATGCCAGTGTCTCCCTTCTTTTTTTTACACATACTAACGAAATGACTGTTCATCAAACCCCCAAGGCCCAACTGATCCCAAGTACCTGCTTGAAAAACATCAACCGTCCACCATCATCAGAACGGACCCTGACTGATTGCGAGGGCATGGAAACCCATGGAAACCCAAAAACGATAATCACCGAGATCTCGCACGTATAGACCGTTCAAGCTTGTGAGCTCCGACCTGGTTTGACCTTGTGCCACACCGACCAGTGATGTCCGTACGAGTACGAGGAGCCAACAACTATAGGGGGCCAATGCCAGGCACCACAGACCGAACTTGGTTGTTCGCGACGAGGGGGGGAATCTATTGGACAACCAACCCAACCAACTAAGGCATACAAGCCAACGTTGGAAAAAGATAACCATCTGCGAAGAACCTTTGTAAATGACCAAGGTACAAAAGATCGTCGATGTGATGTACCTTGGTAAAGGATCATGCACTCAAAAAAGCCAACGTTGGAAGTCGTCTTCCTTTCGGGACCGCTGCCATCCACGTAACCATGGTGCACGTGTTCCTCCGAGTGGATCATCTGTGGGACGTTTGGATCCCGGGCTGCGGCAAATGGCCGAGAGCCGCAGGGCCATGGGTTTTTATCCAATGGCACTTGTCTCAGTTCAGCGGACGTGTTGAAATTGGAGAGACGAAAGAAGGGTATAGGAGTTCTTATCTCCTCTACAAACCAGCTTTCAGAGTCCATCTTAGTTCTCCACGGGGTAATTGGTTTTTTGAATAGGAATCCGCAGATTCTCTATCTGCGCAGAAAGTGACTTGGACCTTTAATCGTTCTTTTCGGGGTAGCGCACGATGCACACGAAAAGGCCAGTTGTGGCTGGTAGAATGCAAGTGTGGAGTATGTGTGCTATTTGTATCATTGCAGCAACACTATAATCATTATCATCATAGTATCACTGTACGTACTGTTAGTTGTGCAAGCTGTTGCAGTCGCGTACAGGCTTGGGATCTCTGGTAATTGTCCCAAGCTGGAGGACTCTTGGATTGCCAGCGAGTGATGGCGAGCCAAACAGTTCCCAGCGGCAAAGTTTGATTTTACTACCATTGCATTCACAGAATCATGGTACAGAACAGGCTTTCCTCTCACCAAAATGATGTTGGCATACTCAGCCATGAAAGCCTCACCCATGAAAAGCTACAAGTACAAAGGCGTGTTGGGAAAAGGTGTTGCCATAGTTTGCCCAAAAAACAATATCCACCAATATCCTAACCACCACAGGGTGTCGCAGTATAGATTCTACCAGTACTTCAACCTCTCTTCGCGTGCTATGGATACTCCTCTTCTCTCACAGCCCCACTGACTATTCCACATGCATTACAAAGTGATAAACATAAGGTGACGTATAGGATAAAGACCTGCAACTGATAAGGAATGGGAAGAATATACCAGTGTTCTTCCGGGGTTGTTCAGACCTGCAAGGCTGTCCAGACCGAGGAGGTAGACCTGTCATGAAGTGGCCCCTCCACTATCCTCCACCAGATTCGCGCAGGGTTCGGCACCCTTTTGCCAGGTGAAACAATCCGAGAAAAAGGCCAGGGCGCTTGAACCGAGGGAATCTGTGTCTGGTGTCCAGCCATTCTGCGTGTCTTGCATGCAGAAACGCTTCTTGAACTTCTGGGACAGTTTAGGACTTGTGTGGATTCAGGGTGGAACACCCAGCTGTGCCCCGAAAACCCAGATCCAAGATGACCAGTTTAGACAAATCCATTTGGGTTAGTCTCACAGCAAGTGAGAGGAAATTCTCTCCGTTGGCCCCAAGACCAGCTATAACGCATCTTGACAGTTTAGCACCAGTGTGGATTTCGGATGAAACACCCAGCTGTGCCCCTTGCAAACGCTGTGCCCTGATGAGGAGTTTAGACAAATCCATTTGGGTTGCTTTCACAGCAAGTGAGAGGAAATTCTCTCCGTTGGCCCCAAGACAAGCTATATCTATATATATATATATATATCCCGACGGGTTTACTTAAGACTACGTTTGTGAAAAACACAACGTTCTTTTAACGTGTTCACGTTTTTGGGGAAGACAAATAGCGTTTCTTTTGGGCGACATGGAGAACGGACACCGATCTCAGACTCTCAGACGCTCCATGTGTGGAAGATTGACCTACTTGGACCCCAGGTGAACCACCTCAATGATGCACAACAGGTGAACCACCATCTCAGGTGCACCACCATCTACGTTAACATCCCACCCCACCCCACTCAGTCACTCGCATTGTGAAGCAACGAGAAGGGTTTCTTCTGTATGAGTGTGTAGTTGGAATCGAACGTTACCATCACACTCACTCGCATTGTGTAGCAACGAGAAGGGCTTCTTCTGTATGAGTGTGTAATTGGAATCGAACGTTAACATCACACTCACTCGCATTGTGTAGCAACGAGAAGGGCTTCTTCTGTATGAGTGTGTAATTGGAACCGAACGTTAACATCCCACCCCACCCCACCCCACCCCACCCCCCGCCCCACACTCAGTCACTCGCATTGTGTAGCAACGTAGATGGGCTTCTTCTGTATGAGCGTGCAATTTGAACCGAACGTTAACATCCCACCCCTCCCCACCCCACCCCCGCCCCACTCTCAGTCACTCACATTGTGTAGCAACGTAGAAGGCTTCTTCTGTATGGGTGTGCAAATTGAGCAGAACGTTAACGTGCCATCCGACCAAAACCCTTGGAATCATGGCACAGTTCTGAAGTCGTAACTACAGTGTGCTTTACATCGACCGACGAAAACATGCGCGGTAAATACGCGCAAATACCGCGCTAAATTCTGAAAACGGATGCTCAAAAAGACGCGCGAATAGCGTATGAATGTACATGTGAGGTTAAAACACTCACAGTCTTAAGCAAACCCGTCTGGATATATATTATATATATAGCTGTCGGTCAAAAAGACTACAAAGCCTTTCTGGTTCCCACGGTGCAGACATCCCAAGACCGGTGTGGACGGCGTGGATGGCACGGACCGCGCGCTGTCTCAGACAGGCGGCGCCTCTGGTCAGCGCGGTGGTGTGAGACAACAGTACAGCTGGGCGCCTTCCATCAAAACGACCTGCACTCCCTGGAAGAATCAAGGAAGTGGATGGCATGCCGTGTTCCGAAGGGGGCCTAATTCTACATCTCTCTCTCTCTCTCTCTCTGGAATGGAGGTGTTTGTGGGGCTGAATGGTTGGTTGCTTGGCTGCATGGTGTTACTTTGTCACGTCCAAAACCACTTAAAGGGAGGCCGCGGCGGCCGCGGGACGCTTGGCCGTAGAACTCGATTCCGACCCCTTGGAGCACGAACGAATGGTGTCGTTCCGCGGGTTAGGGCGCCCAACTGGGCTCTTTGGTGGGATGGGTCATGGCACCTGGAGCCCGGTACACACGGGTCGGACACGGTACATGGGTCGGTCTCCGGTACCATGACCTACAGCAATAGGTGACATAGATGTGTCCAAAGCTCAACTCTGGTGTCCTTGACCTTATACTGTAGGCCTCTCGTTGGCTGGAAATTCTGATGGCTGAAAACAAGCCACTTCCGATCTTCCTCCTGCGCCACTGAAACATGCCACAGCCTGATATTGATCCAGGGATCTGCTCTTCAATCAACTATTCTATGGTTCTATCATGTATCCTCCGGCCGGTCACCACTTGCCGCGAAAAGACCAACTTCACAGGGTCTAAAACACCATGCAGCCATGGTTCCTAGTATGAGACTGTGCAGTGCATGTTCACCCTGCTCATGTTCTGGTGACAAGAAGAACCTCTACCAAACAGCAACAACCTCGGTGCCCAACATGGAAGCGGCTCAGAAATCCTCAACCAACTCACAACCAGCAGGCCGAATTCGCCTCGGACGCAGACCAAAAGCAGCTTCAAACGACCCCAAAACGACTCCCCGGCCACCGTCCCGGGCTTTGAGCCACCTGGAAGTCACCATGGAAGGTGACCCGTTTGAGAGCCCCGTTTGAGGTCACTTAAGCCTCGAAAGGGTCACCTCATAGGCCTCTCACTTTGAAGCTGCTATAGATCAATGTTCTCACTCCATCAGCGGAAAGAAACATGTATATAAAGTTGAAGGATTCTGACATGGTCCTATACCACTCAGGGGCCACTTCATATGACGATCCCTGGTCCACCATGTACCAAAGGACCACGCCAGGTCCACCCATGGTGAACCCGTCGGTCTCCCGGTGTGGCCCGAACTCGCCGTGTCTTCCTGACCAGTTGCGTCGTTGTGGGCATCAATCTCCGGCGTCGGAAGCCTGGTGAAGCTGCGGAGCGACCAGGATTCTTTGGGAGAATTGGGCCAACCGAGCCTAATTGCTAGGGATTGGGATGGATTGGGTGTATAGTGTATATTTCATTTCAATAGAAGGCTGAGGCCCCTTTGCCAAAAATATGTGTGCTTTTCGGTCTTTGCAAAGGCTCTCCCTATTCAATTCCCATCTGGAGCCAATTCAGCCCTACAGCCTTACAGCCTTTCCAAGACCATCGCCGTCCGGGCACCACCGGACACACCCTGGGCTCGGCTGCTCGACGGTGCGAAGTGGGTCAAGATCTTCTCGCTCGGCCATTGCTCCTTTTGATGGAACACGAGTCCGTGAGTCCGTGGGCAAACTATGAGCTTCTCATGGAGCATCCTCAGGTTTGCCCACGGACCCACGGACCCAAGGTTCTTGCTCTCCATGAGAAGGTTCCAAGAGTCATCTTGCTCTCCAAGATTCCTTCACCCTCAGTCAGCCCTCAGCCCTTTCCACTCTCCACTTTCTCCTCTTTCTCATCACTGCCGAGTGGCCAGCGGTGTTGCCACTCGCGTTAATGGCAGGCTGCCCAGCCCGGACCTGTCGCGACCGGCACCGGCGACCGAGCGCGTCGGGGTGTTGGGGATTCACCTCAATGCAAAAACCCTAGGGCTCCAACTACCAGCGTTTCGAAGGTGGTTGGGGTGGGTGCCAGGGAGGTCTAACCACCGAACCTGAGGATATGGTTGGAGCCCTAGGCACTCTGCAGATCTTGATCAGTGCTTCTTGTTCACCATCGGGCTGTCGGGAGCAGTTTGGGTGGAGCCAGTTAGTCTAGTCGTCGCGCCAGTTTTGATGCTGCTACGAGCCAGTTACAGACTATATATAAGACTTGAGGCCGAGGGTAGGTGACGAAAGCTAGCAGGGGTGCATCCGGACTGGTGGGACATCAAGCGGAGTGAGGCAAATGCTCATGAGGTAAAACGTTGTGAACATGTAAGACACACAAACAGCAATGACACAGCCAACCTTAGAATTGAAGTCCCCGATAATTAAGGAAGCGTGGCTGGACTTTGCCACACTGTTCGATGCATCCGATGTGTTCACGAACCTGTGAGCTTGTTGAATCTGTTGCACCGTATCCATCCGTATCCCAAAACCTCCACGGAGGAGTTGAACCAGTGTGGATGCCATAAGAGGTGCCCAAGAGGTGTCCCAGAGGCAAAACAAAGCTGCTTGCATGATTTGTTTGGTTTCTTCTATCGATGTCGATGTCATGAACATGTGAGCTTGTTGAATCTGCTGTTGGATCGTCATGTATATGTAATGAGGGACTGAAGAAAAGCAACGCAGCGTCATGAGCATCACGGGAAGTCACAAACCAGGCGTATCAGATACACCTGGTTTATGTTTGTTTGAGCATCTTTGTCGAGTGAAGTGTCAGCCATATGCACTGAGATGCCGAAGGAAGCTCAAAGGCATGTGTATCTGATATGCCTGGTTTCTGACTTCCCGTGATGCTCATCATTGAAGCCTTGAACCCTCGCGTAAATTTCATGTTTCATGCCCCCCCTTCCAAACTCAAACAGTGGCCTACTTCACCTGCCACCTAAACATAGCACTATAGCACGTACCGGAAGCGTCCCAGGGGGGAGTTGAACCCGCGGGGGGGGGGGGGCCCCCTACACGTGAAGTTTTCACGTGATTCATGATTCTCGAGGCTGCGAGCCCTTGACTTGCTAAAGCAAGAGCAACTCCAGCTAGCTGATGCTAGCTTTCGTGACTAAGACACATAGTCTCAAAGACGGTCTAACCCCCTGGCAGACTCGAAGAGACCAAAGCCCATGACATGTCAGGGGTTCTCCGACTCCTCCTGAGAAGACTCATCGGCCCCCCTTCGGGTTGAAAAAAGGGGGTCTTGGGGAGAAATGGGGCCTTCACTTTGGAAGGCAGACTCCTACACTTACTGTGCATAGGTGCCTTGACAGGGGGTTCTTGATTAAAAACTCATCTGGTGCATGGGACAGTGACATTAGCACCTGAGAGTAGTGAAAGAGTCGTGAAACTTAGGGTAGTACTTTTTTGGTGCCCAAAAGCTTATCATCAGAAAACCGAAGGAGCAACCAGCCCTTCAAATTCTGGCAGAGTATAGCACGTTTTATCGAACTGAAGATGGTGTTTGTCTTTTTTTGCGCAGGATTCGCTATCTTCAGTCTTATGAGTCATATCATTGGACCCCAAGGATCCACATTGCCCGGATTCAGGGACTGGGGATGTGACCTCAGTGGGTCACCACTGTCACCACGGTCAGTCCGGAAATTCCGGAGAAAGCGGCTGGATTCATTGCATAACTCTTATGATATCATAGACCCTTATATAGACCCCCAAATAGATTAGATGGAACAGTAGATCATCACATAGAATAATGAATTTCTTCCACCGTGCCATCCTCTCTGAGTTTGGGGAAAACCGCTCCCTCACCGCCACCCGGGCGCCCCCGGCGCCCCAAGCCGCCCCTCGCGGCTCACGCTCCGCACACGCTGGGGCTCGGTGGTGGCAGGTCACGCGGTGGCCCTGGTGGTTCCAGTGGGGCCTGCGGCAGTGGAGCGTGGCGGTTGGGGTGTTGAACACCGGACGCGTCTCCTCCGGGTCGCATCTGGTCGCAAGCAACCAATGGGTGAACTCATGACAAGAGCTGATTCCATATGATTCCATGATCTGAATTTTTTTCCACCTAAGGGAAAAAGACACAGACAGACGGAGATACACACACAAAAGAAAAAGCTGGGAGAGAGATGAGTGAGAGAGAGAGGGGGTGGGCTGACCTTAGCTCTCTAAAGGCCAGTACACTGGCCTGGATCCACCCCAACGTTCATGTGAACTGCGGCTTCGTCGGTTCGTTGGGAGCCTCTGTGGTGATGACCTTTTGCTGAACCATGGTCCCCAGGGGAACCCTGGAGATGTTGATCTCGCTTCGATCGAACATAGGCCTCAAAGGCCGGCCAGGCGGCGATGTGGCGGGCACAAGGGCGGAAGATAGGTGAGACGGAGATGGTCTGGGTGTGTTTGGGTGAAGTTCGGAGGTTTCACTCAGTGTCGCACCACGCAGAAGCACCACGTGAAGTGCGGTGGCTTTTCATTCTGTGTCGCCCAAAAGATCCCAAAAGCAAGTGATCCTGTTCCGTTTTCGGCCAGAGGACCGACCGAAAGGGGTCGGGGTCCCATAGGGTCCCAGGGTTCCAACGAGGGTTCCATCACCTCCTCAACCTCTCCTTCCCCTCAAAACACATCATGGTCCATTCTGTATGTGGCGGAAGGAAGAATGATCCCTCAAGTGTTTGCGGGATGGGTCTAGGCAAAACACGAAAGTGACATCTTGCAAAAAAGACTTGTCAGAAACGTCCGAAAACTACTTGCACTCCACAGGTTTCTAAACTCATCCGCTCAATCTTCCATTTGAAGTCCTCTGCATCTGCCTTTTGAGGCTCCACCTACTTGCCCTGGGGTCCCCACTTCTGCTTCGGCGGACGCCAAAGCCGGGCGTTCTCCTTAGAAAAGCCACTGGTGGAAGAGGTTTCCACTGGAGTCTATACAGAACGCCAAATGGATCGAAAAGTACAATCCCTTTCAAAATCTCTTTGTTCCACCGTGCCACTCTCTATTTGGGAGGGGGTACCACATGTTTTTAAAGCCCAATCAGTGAGGAGATCTGAGAACATGAGGTCTCTGAGTCGGTCTTCCGATGCTCACCCAGTTGGCCAAACAGTTGACCATCTCTTCGGCCAACTCCTTCCAGTTCTTTTTGAAGGGAACACGGGAACACGTATGTATTTTCAATGAGACATCCGCATGGTCTGCCGGTTAGTTGGAGGATTGAACTAGCTTTGGCCGTTGCACCCTACAAGAGGTTTAAAACGGAGACTTCTTGCGAATGATTCCAGTGACTGGCTTGTGTGCGCGGCTGGGCGAGTATTGATTGCTTCATTCAACCTCGAGCCGCCACGTGGCTCACAAATGTTCCATCGCTGCTTCAAAGCGCAGTCGTTTTGGGGGACTAAAACATCCTCGCAATTTTGAAACATTACATTTAAAAAGAACTGGGGGCGGTTGATCTGCCTTCAGAGACTCAGATTATAGCAATTGTGGTCCCAGCGGATTTTCACTCACGCTGAACGAACCACTTCGTCTCTAATCATCGTGATCTGTGACCATATGAGCATGTCCACAGCAAAAATTGTTGCGATTCTGCAGATTTCGGGAACCAGTGCCCCAACACCCCTCAACAGAAGATCACGTCACCTCAATTCGGCACCTAGACCTCATGGCCACCGCGACTGAACTCGCACCGCTGGGCGCGAGAAGAGTCGGGTTTGAGACGCCCGACGTGAAGGTCCATGTGCAGATTGGAGGTGCTCGTATCCTCCCTGAGCCAACCAGTGCGGTTTTTCATCGTACCATGCGGCGGATCCACTTCTGTCTGTTCCGCCAGTCGCCCATGGTTAGCAGTAAGAATCGCATTGAATTCAACTGTAATGAATGAATCACAATAGAAACCTACAGAGCTTGAAAAGAATATCCCAGCAAGAGACCCCAAAACAGTGTGTGTGTGTGTGAGGTCTGTAAGCAGAAAGTCTAGAGATCTAGACGCATTGGGGTCCAGAGAGGGTGGTGATGAAGTGAAGGTGGGTGTGAGTGAGTGTGGCTGAGAGGGAGTGTGAGTGTGAGTGTGAGTGGGAGAGTGAGTGTGAGTGCGAGTAAGTGTGGGTGAGAGTAAGTGTGGGTGAGAGTGAGAGTGGGAGAGTGAGTGGGTGCGAGTGTGAGTGTGAGACTGAAGGTGGGTGGGTGAGGTGAGTGTGTGTGACTGAGAGTGAGAGTGGGAGAGTGAGTGAGAGTGGCTGGCCTCCTCCCTGTACACCTCCTCCTGCTCCTCGATGGCGGGGGTGCTCGTGGCCGTGAGGTCAGAGGACCTCTCCGGGAGCCTGGTGTAGAGGTCCGCCACGAAGGCGTACTTCGGCTGGACCACCAATCCTGGGCCTTGGTGTCCCTGAGCCTGGCCAGCATCCTCCCCCCTCGCGCGGTTCCACGATGAGGGCCAAGCAGCTCGTCGATCTGGGCCTGGATCGTCTGGCGGCACACCCTGCTGGTGAGGCCCATGGAGGACATGAAGTCCTGGTCCTGGGCCACCGTCAGGCCCCCAAGTTGGCCCAGAGCCACACGCTCTGCGCGTGGGTCTGGGTCCATGTGGGCTCCGAAACCTCGCATAGCGAGAGCCCGCCCACCAAGGTCCCTTGAAGTGCAAGAAAATCTCAAATTGGCGTAAACGCCGTGTGAAGCTTGAGCCAAAAGGGTACGGAGAGGTTTTCGAACACAAACAGCAGATCCAGAAAGATGATTCCATGAACTACGCAAAAGCTATCCGGGTCCCGGCGAATACTTCAGGCGTAATCCCGAACAATGCCTTCCCTTCAGTCCCGAGGCTCGGGTCGGCGAAGGGGGCTTAAGCCCCCCCTTAAGCCCCCTACGAAGGCCCCCTCCCTTACGTACCGAAGCTTAATAAAAGCCCCCCTTAAGCTCCCTTAAGACCCCCCTCAAGCCCCACCTTAAGCCCCCCTTATTAAGCCCCCCGCGAAGGTCCCCTGCACCCAGTTCCCTGTCCCAGTTCCCTGTTTTCAGTTTGCTGCCCCCAGTTCCCTGCCCCCGGTTCCCTGTCCCCAGTTCCCTGTCCCAAGTTCCCTGTCCCCAGTTGCTGCTCCCAGTTCCCTGCCCCCAGGGTTCCGCCCCCAGTTCCCTGTCCCAAGTCCCGTGTCCCCAGTTCCCTCCCTGCCCCCAGTTCCTGTCTCCAACTCCCTGCTCCCCTCTCCCCAGTTCCCTGCCTTCACCCCAGTTCTGCGACAGGGACCTGGGGGCAGAACACTGTGGGCAGGGAACTGGGGGCGAACGAAAGGTAGCAGGGAATCACAAATAATCCGGGACTTTCCAGACCACCGCCGTGCCTGGCCAGCTTGAAATCTCCAAAAGCCAAAAAAGCCCTTTCCGACACAATCTTTCCGCGTTTCTCTGCCGAGCCGCCACAAAAAAAAATAAAAAAACTGTAAATAGCGTGGTTTGAGGCCACTCTTGAAGACTGGAGAAAACTGAAAACACGCCACTTTGAAGCGTACATGGCCCGAAACCATCGCAATTTACGGGTTTTGTGCCGGGAAGGTGCACAAACCCGTGTAAACACCATCGTTTTGAGCCATTGTGAAGCCTCCAAAAGCCGAAAAACCCCTTTCCGACAAAATCTTTCCAGGTTTTTGGTCCTTTTTCGACCATTTTTTTTGAAGCCTAGACACTGTTCCGAGCCTACTGCACCTACTAGGTCCGCCCACTGCCCACCCCTCCCAGTTCAACTCACCTCAGCCACCACCAAGGCCTTTACTGGGCCTTCTGTCAGTTGGGCGTGGGTCAGACGGAGATCGAAGGCGTCAACTTGCAAGAACGGGTCTTTTCCATCCTCATCAGCCCCCCGGCGAACACTCCGCCGCTACTGGGGCCGTGCCGTCGGGCCATCAGGTGTTTCCACAGAGCTAGTTAAAGTAGTTTGTCTCTTGAAACTTGTGTTGGCCTCCCATTGGCAAGCAGCTTTACTATTTTGTTTGGAAGGCGTATCTTTTGTGTTTAGCTTCTATTTTGCTTGTTTTGCTGTGAGTTGTGCACTGTTTGGAAACGCTTCCCAACAGCTCTTTTCTGGCTCACTCCATGCATCACCCCGCGATCTTGTAAGTGATGAAGGTGGTGGCCTTTCGGGCGGGCATGGAAGCAAGGCAGTTCAAAGTCTATGACGCTATCAACATCAAGTTGCATACTCTTCAGCAGCGGCTGTTTGTTCAAGTTGAACCTTCGCTGCTAACATTGGCTAATTACAAGGTTGCTAGGTAATGTCACTGTACAATCCGAGTTTTGTTAGAGAGCTGGCCTCTGCGTCAGGCACCGGCGACGACTCCTTGGGCGACCACTCCTGACGAAGGCTTACTCGAACAAGGAAATGTCACAACGCGGACCACAATGCGCCAGGTCGCTGAGCGCCGGTGCCTCGGGCGCTTCCTTGTTGGAGTAAGCCTGGCGCATGAGGTAGACAAGGCTACTTCTCATAGGCCCTTATCAATGATGTTTAGAACATGCCAAACACAAGGAGGGGCACCTTCACCTGCTTCCGAGACACAGACATAGACAGACAAAAGTCCCATGCGTCGCGCTCCCACTGAACTGGCAGCTCCGAATACGTCATCCTGGCAGTTCGCGGGCAGCTGGACGCACCGTTCACCCGGCATAAAGAATGAACCAACGCACATGGGATCAAGATGTCCTTTTGGGCGGGCTCTTAATGCTATCATTCCATACCTCTTTCCAATTCGGGGAGACCTCGAAAACACGACGGCGACGGCATCTCCGGGGCCTGATCTGGCGTGAGGCGGGGTCGTCGCCGGTGGAGACCTGGGGTGGAGACAGATCTCAAAAATGGGACCCATTCCACAGAAAACCATATGAATTGCGTGGTTTGAGGCCACTCTGCCAGACTGGAGGAGTTTGAAATCTCCAAAAGCCGAAAAAGCCCTTTCCGACACTATCTTTCCGCGCTTCTCTGCCGAACCGCCACAAAGAAAAATAAACAAACTGTAAATAGCGTGGTTCGAGGCCACTCTTGAAGACTGGAGGAGCTGAAAACACGCCACTTTGAAGCGTACATGGCCCAAAACCATCGCAATTTACGGGTTTTGTGCCGGGAAGGTGCACAAACTCGTGTAAATACCATCCTTTTGAGCCATTGTGAAGCCTCCAAAAACCAAAAAAACCCTTTCCGACAAAATCGTTCCATGTTTTTGGTCCTTTTTCGACCATTTTTGAAGCCTAGACACTTCAAAAACCATGTGTTTACGAGGTTCTTTGGCCGGACAGCCACAGAAAAACCATGTAAATTGCGTGGTTTGAGGCCACTCCTGGAGGAGGTGAAAACACTTGTATTTACGTCGTTTTCTAGCCATTGACAAAGAGCCGCGCCACAGTGGAATTGAAAGGGGAGGGGGGGGGGGGGGCGGCCTCCAAAATGAAGTGTCGGAGGGCAATTCTCAGTGAGATAGGCCTCCACTCTGGCAAAAATTCATTCTTGCTGAAGCAAAATGGGAAACTCAGGTAGCGTAACCGCTACCTTTCTTTTTTAAAGGCTCCTGCCGAAGACAACGAAGGTTCCATGTAGCGTCAAAACAAACTCTTTATTCTTGCTGCATGGGGGGAGGGCTGCGCCCCCCCCCAACCCCCCCGCGCCACGAAATCTGCAATTCTCGCACCATTCCCTGCACCTGCCACAAAACGCTTTCTTTTTAAAGGCTCCTCCCGAATACCACGAAGGTTCCCGAGTAGACTTTAGGATGAAAGATTTCTGACCCCCTTAACCACCCCTTAATCCCCTTCTTAAGACCCCTTAAGCCACCTTTAAGCCCCCCCTTAAGCCCCCCCTCGTTGTCTTCGGCGGGAGCCTGTAAAAAAATGCTTTTGTTGCAGGCGCTAAGCCCTGGAAAGATTGTGTCGGAAATCGTTTTTTCGGCTTTTGGAGATTTCAAACTGGCCAAACACGACGGTAGTCTAGAAAGTCCCGCATTATTTGTGATTCCCTGGTGCAGCTTTCCCCGTCCCCAGTTCCCTGCCCCCAGGTCCTTGTCCCCAGTTCCCTGTCCCAAGTTCCGTGTCCCCAGTTTGCTGCCCCCACTTCCCTGCCCCCACTTCCCTGGCTCCAGTTCCCTGTCCCCAGCTTGCTGCCCCCACTTCCCTGCCCCCAGTTCCCTGTCCCAGTTCCCTGACCTTGTCCCCAGTTCCCTGTCCGCAGTTCCCTGCCCCAAGTTCTTGTCTCCAACTCCCTGCCCCCCAGTTCCCTGCCGACAATTCCTTGTCCCGATTCCTGTCCCCAGCCCCCCTTCCACCGAAGACCTTAAGCCTTCGGCAATCCCCCTTTAAGCCCCCCCTTAAGCCCCCCCTTGAGCCCTCCCTCCCCCTTAAGCCCCCCTTCGACCGAAGACCTTAAGCCTTCGGCGAAACCACCCTTAAGCTCACCCCCCTTAAGCCTCCCTTAAGCCCGAAGACCTTCGACCTTCGGCGAAGCCCCCCCGAACCCCCCCCGCTTAACCCCCCCCTTAAGCCCCGCGTTAAGCTCTCCCTCAAGCCCCCCCTTAAGCCCCCCTTCGTCCAAAGACCTTAAAGCCTTCGGCGAAGGGGGCTTAAGCCCCCCCTAAGCCCTCTTTAAGGGGGGTCTTCGCCGAAGGGTCCCCCCCGTTCGACTTCGGCGAAGCCCCCCTCAACTTGCACACCATCGGGCTCAGCCTTTCGCATTCGTGGAAGTAACATACTTGGCGATTCAAAGGTGCCACCGCACACTTGTCATGCACCAATACACTGAAATGCAGTCTGGCCACACAGCCAACACCCCAGGCGGACCTTAGTTGTCCTGGAAGGGAGGAAGGGTGCCAAGTCCTATGGGCGACATACCTGCGCAGGCGGGATTTCCAGTGTGGATTTCCCACAACGTGCTCGGAAGCCGAATGTGTGTCAGTCTCTCACAATGCGAGTTTTACTTAGGCTCTCGATTTCAAACACCCAAGGATCAACCTTCTCCCTCCTGATGGAGGAAACGGACGCAATGGCGCGCGAGTTGGCCCCAGCGCAAACGGTGGATCGCCCCGGCACACACAGGCCGAACCGGAAAACACACACAGGGCGGTGAAGAGTGAGTGTGAGTGTGAGTGGGAGAGTGAATGAGTGTGAGTGTGAGTGTGAGTGAGAGTGAGAGTGAGGGTGAGAGTGAGAGTGTGAGTGAGAGTGCGAGAGTGAGTGAGTGTGAGTGTGAGTGTGAGTGCGAGTGAGAGTGAATGAGTGAATGAGTGAATGAGTGAATGAGTGAATGAGTGGGAGTGAGAGTGAATGAGTGAGAGTGAGTGTGTGTGTGAGTGCGAGTGTGAGTGAGAGCGAGTGAGAGTGTGCGTGAGTGTGGGAGAGTGAGTGAGTGTGTGAGGGGGGTGCAAGTGTGAGTGAGAGTGAGTGAGTGTGAGTGGGAGTGAGTGTGGACGAGAATGAAGTGTTAGTGAGAATGAGTGTGAGTGTGAATGCGAGTGTGAGTGAGTGAGTGCGAGTGCGAGTGTGAGTCAGAGAGTGAAGAGTGAGTGTGGGTGAGAGTGAGAGTGTGAGGGAGTGTGAGTGTGAGTGAAAGTGAGAGTGGGAGACCACGAAATCTCCACTTCGAGGTTCACAAAGCGCTGTGTCTGCCACGAAATGTGCACTTCGAGGTTCACCATGCCGGTGCCCGCCACGAAATCTGCACTTCGAGGTTCACAAAGTGCTGTGCCTGCCACAAAGTCTGCACATCGAGGTTCACCAAGTGCTGTGCCTGCCACGAAATCTGCACTTCGAGGTTCACAAAGTGCTGTGCCTGCCACGAAATCTCCACTTCGAGGTTCGCCATGCGTTGTGCCTGCCACGAAATCTGCACTTCGAGGTTCACAAAGCGCTGTGCCTGCCACGAAATCTGCACTTCGAGGTTAACTATGCGCTGTGCCTGCCACGCAGTCTGCACATGTGCTGTGCCTGCCATGAAATCTGCACTTCGAGGTTCACCAAGTGCTGTGCCTGCCACGAAATCTCCACTTCGA